CCGAACGTTACCACACTCACAGACACAAGCTGCACGTCGACATGCTCACGCTCCAACCTCTCTGACTTGTTGATTATCGTTTTTGGCTACACATTCCAAGTTCAATAAAGTGCTAAGGAAAGCTGAGTGCAAATACTTGTCATTCCTAAGATCTCCCTGAAAGCCCCGACTGAGGACTGATCTCCCAGAGAAACGCGGCAGACAGAGGTCCTCGGTCATCCCACTGGAAGAGAAAACTCTGCCATCTACACTGTCAAAATCTCCTGGGATTCGAACATCAAACAAATAAAATTAGCTGCTCGTGTGTTTACTAGAACTTTTAAAAAGTCACCGAAACAGAGAGCCACCTGCCTCCCCTGAAAAGCCCATTCTGGGGTGCACCGTTTGTCGGGGCGTCAGCCCGCGCCGCAGCTGCCCTGGGAGTAGTGACTGCGGGCACCCCGCTCCTCCAACTCGCCGGCTCCTCCGCCCCCCAGGCCGGCCAGAGCGTCCTCCCAGGACGCCGGAATCCCGGCCCCAGGGCCGGCCGTGCCGTTCGCCGAGCGCGCCCGGGCGCGTCCCGGACCCCCCGGAGGCTCGATGGCCGGGTCTCCGAGCGGGGTCGCGGCGGCCCGGCTGGCTCCAGGCCTCGGCTTCCCGCGCGGCCTCACCTGGTGCGCGGCCGCGGGCCCGGCCCCGTTCAGCAGTGGCGCCCCCGCGCCGGGCCGCGCCGTCCTCCGCAGCAGCGGCGACGCCTCCTCGTCGTCCCGGTCGCGGCCGGACCACGACACCTTCTTGGAGACGTTGGCCATGGCCCGCCGCGGAGGGCACCCGGCGGGGAAACGCCGCCGCCCGGGTGTTTGGTCTGGTGACCCGCGCCGGCAGCCACGTGACTCTGACGACGGTCACGTGACGGGTGGTGGAGATCACGTGATGCACGACGGCGGCCGTCGAGGGCCATGCGCGCGGAGGCTTCTGGGAGTCCCGGTTGGAGTCGCGCGCGCTGCCGCGGTGACCCGGGAACCCTGGGGAGGCGAGCGCGGGGGCGGGGGGCCGGGGGACGCGGGCGCGCGCTTCTTGCGGCGGACGCCCCCGAGAGCTGCGACCTGGCGGGGGATGGGGTTTGGCAAGTCCCCACTTCCCCGCCCGCAGTACTAGCGGACGCGGGGGGGAACCGTTAGTGCACCCTGCGACCCCGAGTTGGGGTCCCTGGGAAACTGCGCGCATAAAGCGCTCCCCGAAGGGTGCTCGCTGACGGCGAGGGCGGGGACCCGGCCGGGCCCGGCCACGCGAGGGTCAGCCCCGCTGCGACGGCGGCACGGGCCCCGCGGCGGTGCTCGTGGGACTGGGTTCACTCCTGGGGCGTCCCGCAAAAGACGCTGCGGACCAGCCGAAGCTGAGGGTCACCTGCTGTGCTGAGCGCGGCTGGTTAGTTCCATAATGTCAGTTCCTGAACGACCAAGAAGGGCCGAGGGACTGTCCCCGATCAAAGGAGACAGACAGCAGGCCCCAAGTGGGTCTGGCGTTATTGGAACAATTGGCAAAGACGGGATCACGGTATTAGCTAGCGGCGTGGTAACAATGTTAAATTTCCCAAATGTGATCATTCTGTTGGGGTGGGTCAGGAAAGTCCTTGTCCTTAGGAAATACACACTGAAATATCGAGCATGGATTGTGGTGTGACGTCTGCAACTTCCCTGAATCCCAATACCTGTGGAGAGAGCTGGGAAATGGGGTCAAATGTTAGTGTTATCCTGCCTGGAATCCCAGCACTTTGGGAGGCCAAGGCAGGAGGATTGCTTTACGCCAGCGGTTCCTGACCAGCCTGGGCAACATAGCAGGACACTCTCTACAAAAGATTTACGGAGTAGCCAGGTGTGGTGGCATGTGTCAGTGGTCTCAGCTGCTCAGGAGGCTGAGGCGGGAGGATCATCGCTTGAACCCTGGAGTTGGAGGCTGCAGTGAACTGTGATTGTGCCACTGCACTGCAGCCTGGGTAACAGAGTGAGGCCCTGTCTCAAAAAAGAAAAAATAATTGGCCTTTGGCTCTCTGAGCAGCACCATGGCAATGGGCAAAAGCAAGCACCTTAAAAACATGACGGGAATGGAGCCCGGAAGAAAGCAGCTGGTCCGTTTTCTGAGGGAGATTGGTGTGAGATGGAAGCAGCAGCTGTGCTCCACGTGAGCACTGCTGGGAAAACAACTGGTCACAGGACTCCAGGAACCAGAGCTGCATCCGATGGCCTCAAGGGCTGTGTGTTTGAAGTGAGCCTTGCTGATCTGCAGAATGATAAAGTTGGATTTAGAAAGTTCAAGCCACTTACTGAGGAAGTTCAGGGCAAGAACTGCCTGACCAACGTCCATGGCATGGTCCAGCTGTGTTCCGTGCTCAGCAGCAGACCATGACTGGACCTCGCTTGGACTTCACGGCTACCAGCAGTTGTTTGCTTCATACGGTCCACGCTGGCTTTACTTTATAAACACGGCAGTCGTAGTGGGATGACTGATTTCTTTTGCTCAGCACGAACGGGTCGGCTAACCCCAGAAGATGAAAGTCACGAGCCAGGAGGTACAGACGGATTCCTTGAGAGACGTAGTCGATACACTGATTGCTGGTGGCACCGGGAAGGACACGGAAAGGGTTCGCCGATGTTGTTACCCTCCCACGGTGTCATCCTTAGGAAAGCGAAAGTGCCGGAGAAGCCCGAGTTTGAATTGGGGAAACTGAGGGCTCAACAGCAATGGTGGTTGTTCTGGAAAAGCTGCCAGGGATGAGACAGTTGCCAGAGCTGAACGAGCCCCGAGTCCAAGAATCTAGTTCAAATTTAGACACTTCTTTTTCAAATGGTGACAAATACAAAGTCTTATTTGTAAAAAAAAAGAAAAAAAAAGAGTTAATGCTGATGATTCTAGGGTAAATATGTATGATGTGCAATGTATTTGTCTTGCAGCTTTTTCAGATTTGAAATTTTTCCAAATGAAAAGATTTTAAGAGTTCTTTAGAACCTCTAGGGCTGAGGAGATAAGGAAACACTTCCCTCCCCAACATAATTCAAAATAAAACCAAAACTAAACCCAAAATAAGAGGAAGGAAATCCAACAAGGTTCTGAATTTCCCCATGATGACTCTGCAGCGCTTTCTCTGAAGTACTGCCAATGATGTTCTTTGAGAAAAGGTGTTTTTTTTTTTTTTTTTTTGAGACAGAGTCTCACTCTGTTGCCTGGGCTAGAGTGCCGTGGCATCAGCCTACCTCACAGCAACCTCAGACTCCTGGGTTCAAGTGATCCTCCTGCCTCAGCCTCCTGAGTAGGTGGTACTATAGGCACTCGCCACCGTGCCAGGCTAATTTTTTTCTATTTTTAGTTTGGCTAATTTCTTTCTATTTATAGTAGAGACAGGGTCTTGCTCTTGCTCAGGCTGGTCTCGAACTCTTGAGCCCAAGCAATCCTCTCACCTTGGCCTCTTAGAGTGCTAGGATTACAGGTGTGAGCCACCGCGCCTGGCTGAGAAAAGATGTTCTTCATAGGTGTGCCCTGGCTTTGCCCTTTTGAGGGTTGGTGACAAGACCACTGTGACCTCTGTTTTTTACACCGGGAGTTAAGCTGGCTTACGCAAGGCCCCAGGCACAGGCAGGAGTTGAACCTGGTTTGGTTTGATCTGAAAACTCTTGGTCTCAACCTGCCTTGAGTCTAGAGCAGACAGCAAGCCCCCCTGGGGTTCAGAGGGGGGACAGGCCCTTCCCCAGGCTTCTCAGAGGCAAGGACCAAAAGGAAGATGTCCTACCGCTCCCTCCTCAAAGGCAGAGTGAGGTGGGGCAAGAGAGTTCCAGAACACATCAGAGGAGACGGGGAAAGAAAGGGCGTTTGGGAAGGGAGGCTCTCCATAGAGGGAGACGTGTCCTGGGGAAGCAGCAGCCAGTGACTCAGGGAGCCGTCACTGGGCACCCCTGCGGGTTTCCAGTTCTAAGATACCGTCTCTGACCTCGACTCACGCGCAGGTGGTGCTGGGGAGGCCTGTAGTTGCTGGGGCCCGAAGGCGGCTCTGCAGAGACGCTGCTCAGAGACTCCGGGGACTAAGTGCGGCACCGTCCCACCGGAGCAGCTGGGCAGGGCTGCGGGTGAGGGGTGGCCAGGCGCTGGCCCAGGCCCTTGCAGAGCTGAGACCACCTTTGCACGAGGCAGGGGGTCTTGGGCCCCTTGTGGGTCTGCTAGTGCGGGACATGGGGCTTCTCCAATCCGCTTCCTCACTTTTATTTATTTATTTTAGATATTTGAAACACAACTTTATTCTGATTCTAAGCGAAAAGGAGTGGGAAGGACAGTTAACAAACAGGATTCCACCACTAAACATCGTGATGTGGCTGTAGCAGTCTTATATTTGAAATGCAAAGAGGAATCAACTGCGATCCAAAACAGCTAAATATCCAGGTCCAGACAATGAAGGTATTTTTTAAACTGGCATTTCCTCCAAAGCCCACTCATCTCCTCCAGCAGCTTCCTCACTTTTAAAGTGGGGAGGGGGAGGGTTGGACCATGAGGAATCTGAGAACCAGGCCCAACCCCAGACGCAGCGGTTCTGGCCTCTTCCCACCCACTCTTCTCCTGTGGGCACCTGAGTGACCTTCTGATTCTTGGGATCTTGCCTTTGGGTCTTTGGGAATCCCCAGCATTACAGGATTAATCTACATCACACAGAAACTTTTTTTTCTTTTTTTTTTTTTTTGAGACAGAGTCTCACTTTGTTGCCCAGGCTAGAGCGAGTGCTGTGGCGTCAGCCTAGCTCACAGCAACCTCAAACTCCTGGGCTCAAGCAATCCTGCTGCCTCACCCTCCCAAGTAGCTGGGACTATAGGTATGCGCCACCATGCCCAGCTAATTTTTTCTATATATATTAGTTGGCCAATTAATTTCTTTCTATTTACAGTAGAGACGGGGTCTCGCTCTTGCTCAGGCTGGTTTCGAACTCCTGACCTCGAGTAATCCGCCCGCCTCGGCCTCCCAGAGTGCTAGGATTACAGGCGTGAGCCACCACGCACGCCAGGCCCACACAGAAACTTAAATAAAGTAAAACATGTCTGTTCTGATTGTGAATGCATGTTTTTTTTTTCAACCTGCCACAATTCGGAAAAAAAGGGTTGTTGAAAAGACAATACCAAGGGTTGGCAGGATATTGAGAAACGGGAACCTTCATGTATTGCTGGTGGGCATGTGAGCTTGATGCAGCTATTGTGGAAAACAGGGTCGCAGTGTCTTTCAAAGTCGAGACGTGACTACCGTCCAGCCAGCAGCTCTGCTCCTAGGTTCCCACCCACACAGAGGCGTGTATGAGATGCTCGCAGAAGCTTTATTCCCAGGAACCCAAAACTGGAAATGATCCAGATGTCCGCCAGCAGATGAATGTCTAAATAAAACACGGTCTGTCCATACCATGGAGTATCATTTAGCCATAAAAAGGAAAACATGCTGCTCAGCGAGAGAAGTCGGCCACGAGATCCGAGTGCCACGTGACTCCATGTGTATGGAGCAGGCAGATCCACAGAGACAGCAGGTCCGTGGCCGACAGGGGTGGGACTCCTGGTGGGACGGGAGCGAGTGCCAAGAGCACAAGTTTTGGGGGTGGCGACAGAAATGTCCTAAAGCCAGATTGTGCTGATGGCTGCACAACTTGGTAAATTGACTACAAATCTTTGAACTGTACACTTCAGACGGGTGAAATTTATAATATGTAATTTGTACCTCGATGCAGCTGTTTTGGAAGCACTGCCAGTCTGCCTCCAGTGTTTCCTTTGAGCCGCTTGCCCCTGCGTGGACCCTCCACCCCCGTCGCCTCCCCAGCCACCCCAGGACAACAGGACAGGACGTGGCCGCTTGACTTTGGGGCCCCCAGGGCTCCCGGGGAGGCACGGGGTGGGATGGGGCCGTGTGCTGTAGCTTTGAGGGCCAGGAAACAGACTGGCAGCCTTTCTCCCGAGAGCTGTTGGAACAGCGATCACCTTGAGAAAAGGGAGTGATGGCTGAAATGCCACCTGTGCAGTTTCAAGGAAAACGGACAGTCCCAGGGAGCTAGCTTTTAATCAACCAGAATAACAGCTGCAGACATGCTCAGAGGACAGGCCCGTCGGAGCCTAGCGCTCTCGTCTGGCTGGGCGGGGCCGTGATGGAATGCCATCGAGCCACACAGGACAAGGCAGCAGATGCTCTGAAGGAGCAGCAGGAAGGACACCCGCCACAGTGATGGGAAGGAGGCCACCTTGTGGCCCGAAGGTGACTCTGGGCCTCGGCCTCCGGCTGGCTATTTCCTTGCTGCCTCCCCTCCCCCCATGTTAGGGCACAGGTGTGCAGAGCCATGGCGGGCGGTGGGGGCCTTTGTGGGAAGTGCTGGTCCTGGGGTGGCCAAGTGTGGGGGGGCACCATCCTCTCCCTGGCTGGTACGGCCTCACGGACAGAGCTCCAGGCAGGTGCAGTTGGCCCTCTGCACGAATCCGCCTACCCTCGTGGCGTTGGCCAGTGTCAGGATGGCGCCTGTGGGGAGCTCTCTCCCAGCGGCAAGGCTTGCGACCTCCCCAGGGACCAGCGCCCGGTCCCAGATGGCCACACCAGACACGCTGCCCACGAAGGCCTCGGAGCTGTCGAATCCGCCCCCCACGCTGTCCTGCTCCTGGCCCAGCACAAGGGACCCTCCAGGGGGGATCTCGTAGCCCTCCCTGAAGTGGGAGCCGGCAGCCACGAGCCTGCGGTCCACGTGCAGCCAGTACCTGCCCTGCACGGACGTCCAGAGGACGCAGACGTGGTGCCACCGGCCGTCCAGCAGCAGCTGCAGGGGCAGCTCCCTGAAGGCCGGGTCTCCGATCACAAAGTGGATGGAGCCGGGCGCGAGAGAGTCTCGGCCGTGCAGCACCAGCTTGTTGTCGTTGTCTTCCGTGGTGTAGGACAGGAGGGTGCCCAGGCGGCCGGAGGCTGTCCGGACCCAGCTGCAGAAGGACAGGGCTCGCAGGGCCGTGGGGAAGCCAGGGCCGAGGGGAACCACGTTCTCGGTGGAGGCGTTGGGGAAAACGAGCACAGGGCCTGCGGGGCACGCTGGGAACAGAGGGTGGGAGGGTCAGCCCGCGCTGCCCCCCACGCCAGCGGGCTCCTGGGCTCCCAGCAGCCACCCCGCGTGGGCCTTGCCCCTGGGCCGGCCCCGCCCAGGGCTCCTTGCAGCGTTCCTTGATTGAGCCTTGAGATTGATCACCCCATTTCACAGGTGGGAAGGCTGAGGCCCTCCCAGGGAGGGGCTGGTCCCGACAGGGGCCCAAGCTATCGGCCCACAAGGCTGAGCCAGTGCCTCTCCCTGCCGGGCCTCTGTGCGCCTTTCCTGGTGCTGCTGTAAAAAATCGTCACACGTTTAGTCGCTCACAGCAGCACAGGCTTATTGCTTTACGTCTCTGGAGCTCAGATGTCCGACGCGGGGCTCGCGGGGCTCAAATCAAGGTGTCGGCAGGGCTGGTTCCTGCTGCAGTCCGGGCTCCAGCTGCCCGTGCTCCTCCGCTCCTGGCCCTTCCCCGGCCTCCCTCCAACCTCTGCTTCCCCTCACGTCTGCTTCTCTGCCTGTTGCTCCTGCCCACCTCTCCTGAGGACCCCCCGCCTCCCGTGAGGACCCCCCCGCCTCCCGTGAGGACCCCCCCGCCTCCCGTGAGGACCCGCCTCTCCTTAGGACCCCCGCCTCTCTGAGACCCCCCCGTGGACCCTCCCGTGAGGGACACCCCCGCCTCCCGTGGAGAACCCCCCGCCTCCCGTGAGGACCCCGCCTCTTGAGGACCCCCCCACCTCTCCTGAGGACCCCCCACCTCTCCTGAGGACCCCTTACCTCTCCTGAGGACTCCCCACCTCCCGTGAGGACCCCCAAGCACTGGGGCCCCACCTCAGATGAGACCCCCCTCAAGGTCCCTAACAATCACCTCCATAGAGAACCTTTTGCCACGGAGGGCACCTGGGACCTGCACAGGTGCTGCCACCTGGATAAGTGACGGGGTTGGGCCGGTCCCTGACTTCTGGGGCACGGTGTGTGGAGGGTGACGCTGGGTCCCCTCCACACAGCGCTTGGGAGAAGCCTCTTCGGAGGACGCTGGTCTGCGGGGAGCCGGGGTGGCCTGCGCAGCGATGGGGCAGGGCCGGCCGTAGTACTTACTCTCTCCTGGCCTCTCGGGGGTCCGCGCCGGCGGGGCTGTGGCCGCCCCATTCAGTGTCTGGTGGCCGCCTGAGGCTGGGCGCCCCCGCGTGCCCTGGGCAGAGTCCTGGGCGGCGCTCCCAGGCTCAGGTGCGGCTCCCAGCGCCTGCCTGCCCCGCTGCAGCTTCGGGGAGCCCAGGCGGGGCCGATCTGGCTGCGCTAGGCCTGGGCCTGGGACGGGTGCGGGGGCCACGGCGCCAAGGGTGGCCATGTGCAGCCGCCCCTCGAGAGCAGCCAGCCGGGCCCCCTGGCGGTGGACGAGGTCCGAGAGGCGAGCCAGCGTGTCCTGCAGGGCCTGCACGTCCCCGGCCAGTCCCGCGGCCGCGTCCTTCTGCACCTTCCTCTCCCGGGCCCGCGGCTCACTCTTCTCGCCCAGGGCCAGGTCCAAGGCCCGCAGCCTCGAGTCCGCCTTCCGGCTCTTGCGCTCCATCTTCCGCATCCGGGCCCTGAGGTGGGCCAGGTCCCCCTGCACGGCAGCCTGCGACTGGTTGACCGCCAAGGCCACGGCCTGGCTCTCTTCCGCCAGGCTCCGGAACCGGACGTCCACATTATAGGAAACGTTGTAGTTGCTGGCGATGCCCCGCAGGTGGGTCAAGGTCACCTCCTGGAATCTCCGAAACTGTGAAGAGGACACGGAGCGGCTGTGGGGCGCGGGCCAGGGCGGGAATGAGACTTCCCTGCTCACACTGTTGCAGCACCTGCCCTGCCCGGGTCACGGCCGGGCCCCCGGAGGGATCAGCCGCCCTCCTATGAGGCCAGGCGGGAGTCCCATGGCCGGCCCCATACGGCTGAGCGCAGAGAGGGCAGTGAGCCACCCCAGGGCCACAGCTGCACCGTGTGGGTGGGTGGGGACTCCAGGGCCACCGCCTGGGCTTCCGTCCCTCCTACACGCCCCATGCGCTGGATGAACACCAGCCGGTCACTTTGCCGCTGTGACCAGGTCCTGCCTGCACATGGAGGGCGGCGGGGGAGGCCCCGCGAGTGCTCGATTCGGCTTAGGCGGGGAGCACTTGGCGCAGGCCTGACTTGCAGGGCGTTCGGGGACGGTCTGTGGACCCCACGCAGGAGTCTCGGGCGCGTCCGTGTCCTCTGCTTTGAGGCAGCTCGTGACCTCACAGCTCCCGCGCCCAATGACGCTGCCTGGCCCCCAGCACCCCAGACCCCCAGCTGTGCTCCTTGGGCCTTGCAGACCCCGTCCGGCCCCACTCAACCCTCACGCGCCACCTGGCTCGACCCCACTGCAGAGCCCAGCAAACGTCCTTGCTGGTTTCCGACTATGGTCAGAAACGGGTGAAGATACGTGAGCTGAGAGAAAGAACTGCAGACGCCTGCCACGTCTGTTTCCACCTGCTCTGCCGTTTCTGCAACACCTGTCCTTCACCTGCTGCCAGTTTAAGATACCAACCGCTCCAAGTCTGGGTATACTTGCCTGCTCTTCTAGTCTACGCAGCCTCTCAAAAAATGGCTTCCTCGGCCCTGCTGGGCCGGCTTCCTGCGATAAAGCCCCATGTAGACAAACAGGCACAAAAATAAGGAAGAAAGACAGGGTCTTCCTCCCCGGGCAACCCATCCTGAGGCTCCTGCTGTCTCTCGCCTGGACACAGCAGAAGGAGTGGAGTCCGTCTCGGCCTACGCTTCTCCCAGCTCTCCGGCCGAGCGATTTTCCTTCCTGGGCCCTGGCTGGATGTCAGGTGCTTCCTGCCACCTCGATGAGAGGCATCTGCCTTCAAGCCACAGGCTCTGAGAATCGGAGGTTCCCAAGGAGACAAGTCTAAAACAGATGCAAACATCATCTTTGGAGAATCGTTCTACAGGGTGCAAGCCCTTGTCTGGTTGGCTCAGAGGCAGGGAGGAGGTTATGGCTTTAACAGCAGCACACGGACTCATGTTCTCCAGAAGCTGGAGCAGGACAGGCGACCCGACTGGGGCTGGGAGGTCAGAGCCAGGTCCGCCCTGGCATCCAGCATCCAGGCCTGCACGGCCGCATCCTGCGAGGAGTGCATGCGCGTGCTCTCTCTCTGTAAGGCAATGGACATGTGATTGGGAGCCACCTTAATTTATTCATTTTTGGGCACAGGTTTTTTTATCGGGTCGAATGATGCCACCCAAAAACATACATCTAAGTCCTAACCCGGGTACCTGTGACAAACGGGTCACCTGGAAAAAGGGGCTTTGCAGGTGTAATTGAGGATTTTGAGATGAGGTCATCCTGGATTATCCAGGTGGGCCCTAAATCCAATGACAAGTGTCCTTACAAGACACAGAGGAGGAGACGCAGAGGAGAGGGCCGTGTGGACACAGAGGTAGAGTTTGGAGTGATGCTACCTTGGGGAACTCCTGGAGCCCCAGGAACTGGAAGAGACAAAGGAGGAGGCTTCCCTCGAGCCCCAGAGGGAGGGTGATGCTTGCTGTCAGGCTGTCAGACCTCAGGCCTCCAGGGGCGTGATAGGATAAACTTCTGGTGTTTTAAGCCACCAAGTCTGTGGTGCTAAGACAATTGTGAGGTGTGCCCTACAATGGCATCCAAGGACACTTTCAGACAAGCAAAGGCTTCAGAAGTGATCTTCCCTGCACCCTTCGCTGGGAAGTTACCGATGTCGGGCTTCAGGACAATAGCGGGGAAGGAGGGATGGAGTTGCCATGGGTGCTGGAGAGGCAGTCCCCTCTCTTTCTCCTAATCTATTTTTAGTGGGGGGGGGGTCTCGCTCTTGCTCAGGCTGGTCTCGAACTCCTGACCTCGAGCAGTCCGCCCGCCTCGGCCTCCCAGAGTGCTGGGATTACAGGCGTGAGCCACCGCGCCGGCGCGGTTTATAATCTTGTTCAATTTGGGTCACGCAGGCAGCCACAGACACCCGGCGGTGGCGCGTCGGACGCAGCTCTGGCTCCCGGCCGGTCTCGGTGACGCCGAGGGCGGGGCTGTGACGTCACTCCGCGGGGGCGGGGCGGCTGACGTCACTCCGCGAGGGCGGACCGAGGGAGCAGCGAGGCCGAGGACGCCGGGCGTGGCGGGAACGGCCCGCACCACGTGGGGAGGGCAGGCCCCGCCCCGTCTTGGCCCCGCCCCGCCCCGCCCTCCGGCGCAGGCGCAGACGCAGCCGCGCGTGCTCCGCTGGTTCGTGGCGAGCGGCGGCGGGAACCGGCCCGGAGGCGCCGGGAAGCCCGAGAGAGGCGGCTGCGGCCGGTCCCGGACTCGTGCTCGGGCCGCCCAGAACTCGGCGCTGGGCCGCGGCGAGTCAGCGGCGAGCAGGGCCTGAGCGCGCGCGGGCCCTGGGGAGCCGGGCCGGGTTGGTCTGGGTCGGGTCGGGTCGGGTCGGGTCGGGGGCGGCGCGGGCCCTGGGGAGCCGGGCCGGGTTGGTCCGGGTCCGGGTCCGGGTCCGGGTCCGGGTCTGGGTCCGGGTCGGGGGCG